CGAAGACTTTTTTTAAAGTCGAGGTGTATGACGTAGATCTCTTCCCCTTTGTACAGGTGATAAGTCACCTGCTCATAAAAGGAAATGAGATTTGGTCAAGAAAAACCTACCCGCAACAAACCCATGCTGGGTATCCCTCAGGATATTGCCTTCAGCTAGTCTGTTAAGGATAGCCTCCATGATAATCTTTTCCAAGACTTTCCCCAGGATAGAGGTCAGGCTGGGCCTGTAGTTTGCCAGATCTACTTTCCTCCCTTTCTTGAAGATTGGCCCTCTTCCAATCATCAGGCACTTCACTTGAGCGCCAAGAGCTCTCAAAGATCCGTGCCAGGGGCTGAGCTATGATGCTTGCCAGGTCCCTGAGTACCCTTGGGTGTAACCCATCAAGGCCGGCTGACTTGAAGGCATCCAGACTGTCAAGGTGTTCCTTCGTGAGGTCAGCTTCGATAGAGGGCAAGGAATCTCCCTTGCCCGGGCCTCCCTGACCCATAGTGAGCAGGGCCGTCCAATGGGGCTGATGGAAAAACTGACACAAAGTACCCATTTAGCAAGTTTGCTTTTTCCTGGGCATCAGTTGTCAGTTGCCCCATCTGGTTTAGCAGGGGTCCAATGTTGCCCTTGCTTTTCCTCCGGCTCCCCACATATCTAAAAAACGACTTTTTATTTTTCTTGATGTTTGTAGCTAGCTGGAGTTCCATCGCAGCCTTGGCTTTCCTGATTTGCTCTCTGCAAGTCTGGGCTAAAGTAGAATATTCTTCCTTTGTACCGGTTCCAGTCCTCCATCCTTTATAGGTCTTCCTTTTAAGATGCAGGAGGTCTGCCAGTTCTCTGGAGAGCCAAAGGGACTGCTTTACCCTTTTGCTGCCTTTCCTCCAAGATGGGATGGACTTTGCTTGCGCATCCAGGATTGCTCCCTTGAGGAGCAACCACTCATCCTGAACTCCCCTCTCCATTGGGTTGTGGCCTTTTTGGGGCCTCTCTGACAAGCCTTCTTAGCTTATCAAAGTCATCTTTCCTGAAGTCGAGGACTTCTGTACAACTGACTGACTTGCCAGCTTTACAGCAGGTGATGAAGGTGATCAGTGATCATAATCACTGTCACCCAGCTTCCCTTCGATTTGTTAGGTTGCTAATTAGGTCATCCCCAGTTGCCAGTACGAGATCGAGCAGTGCTTTACCTCTTGTCGGCCCATAGACTTCCTGCATCAGATAGAGGTCGTCTACACATGAGAGAGAGCTTTGCAACCACTCAGATTTGGCTGAACACTCCTCCCACAAGATATCTTGGTAGTTAAAGTCTCCCATGACAACCATACACCAGGATTGTGTGGCCTCAGCCAATTTCCTGGTGAACTCCTGCTCGAGGTCTTGACTCTGGGTAGGGGGTCTGTAGTAGATCCCCACCATAGTATCCCCTGAGCCGTGTTCCCTACAGATTTTAACCCAGAGGGTCTCAAGTTGTCCACCGTGGGTGCCAATGTCAGCTTGCAGGGATGCGTAGCTTTCCTTGACATAAACAATACTGGGAACAGGACTCAACCTAGATGAATACCCTCCTGACTGGGGTACAGAGATTCATTCCTCCCTCCTTGCTTTCCCTCTTGCTTAATGAATTTTGCATTCTCCCATGGCACAACTTCAATTGGGAGATGGGAAGTTTGGATTTTAATCTCCTCAGGCTGAGGAGGGCCCAGAACCTGGGTTTTTTGTTTTGTTTTTTGTATGTTTTTTCCGAGGAGGGTCTAAAACCTGGGCAGTTGATAAGTTAATTTATATAACTTGCCTGTTACATAAAATATGGACATCACCTCTACTACCCAAATTTTAAAACTATGAATGAGTTGCCGAAACCAAGAAGTGTATCAGTGTCTGAGTTCAGGGTAGATGTGAGGCTGTGAATCCCAGCCTCACATAGATGCCTGACTCCAGGCTGTAGATAAACAACTACATCTAGGAGAGTTGGCAGTTTAAACACAACCCTCTTTGGTGTTTCCTGTTGGCTAATTTGGGCATCCATCCTACTCGCTGTGCTGCCTGTACTGATGCTGATACAGGATCTTAGGCATCAAACTTGAGTTTCTGATTTCATTCTGGAAACTGGACCCCTAAGACCCCTGATGGGCAATTATTATGGGTGGAGGGCCACTTAACTGAGTTTTAGTAAGCCATCGAGGGCCACATGCCAGGCAGCCACGGGCAGATAAATATTAATTTTTTACATTTTTTTAGGGGCTCTGCGGGCCAGATAGAAAGGCCTGGCAGGCTGCATCCAGCCTGCAAGCTGCATTTTGCCCACCCCTGCCTAAGACCCTTTTTGGTCTAGGCTCTAAGTTTATTGTAAAATGGTATTCTTTCCTGTCTTTTAAAATGCTGAGTACAGAAAATAATCTTATTGAACAGATTCCTAAACCAATAAATGGAATAGCTGTTTTTTTCCATAAATAGTATATAAGGTTGTGCTTTTTAATTTTGCTTCTTCATGGTATATATATTTTTATAGTCTGATTGGAGAGGGACGTACACAAGGACTGTACTGCCCTTGATCCACAGGCAGTATCCAGTCTCCCTTCAGTCAGAATATTGTGAGACGGCAGTGTTGAGTAATGACCTTATGTAGTAATTTACATTTTGGTTGTAAACACTAGATGTATGGTTAGTATGTAGAAGTAGTTTGGGTTCAGTAACCTGAAGTATATTCAGTGAATGAGTCTATTACTGAGAAACAAAGTAAAAAATTAGTGGCATACTGCCTCTTGGAAGAACAGTGTTACAGTGATTTCCTAACAGTGGAGATCTCCTCTAAAATGGGTTATCAAAGATATCCTTTTATGTCACCTGGTTTTAATAAATATTTTCATAGCAATTTCTAGGCCTTTCCAAAACTGATTTAACTGATTTCTAGGCATCCACTCGTCTCTTTAATAAGAACAACCCAAACTTAGAAAACAAATAGTTTTAATTATGCTATTTCTTCAAACCTCGCTTAGAATTATTAGTAAAGCTGTATCCTCAATATCATTTCTTAGACAGTAAGCTATGTGACAAATCTCGAAACTAACATAGCCTAAATTGCAAATATTGTGTGTGCAACTTAGTTTAAAAATAAGGCAGATTTTCATATTTACAGTTCATATTTGCAACTATACAGTTCTTATAAGGACCAATAGAGATAATATTAACATAAGCTACATTGCTTATTAAAATAAAGACACTCTGGCTAGCCTAAGAATTTACAATAAGATACAGTTACATTTACCATCACTAAATAGAGGAATTATGCAGCTCACTTAAAATCCACCTCTGCTTTTTTTCTTTTGTTTCTGCTTCTTATTTATATGTTTGTCTGCATGCTGTTGCCAGATGTGTTTATGCACTAATTACAAGGAGCACTGTGTATAGAACTGCATTTGCAGAAGTTTTTTGTAAGCCTTGTCCTTGACTAGTACTATTTTATAATAAAAGGTATTGCTTAAATTTATTTTTTGTTACATCTTTAAAAAGCTTTTTTGCATAATACCTTTGCTCATGACTGCCATACTTGTAAGTTAACTACCAATGTATACTACTGATGTATGTCACAATGAACATTTATACGTTTTCCCCTTAAACCTTTAGTAGGTATCAACTTATTTTGGATGGCATAACTCAAGTTTTTCGTATTCTAGGTGTAATAGCTCTTTCTTGGTACCCACCTGGTATGGCTGATGAAAATGGGGAACCTACTGATGATTTGGTACCTATTATTTTGGATGGTGCACATAAATACAATCTAAAGGTACAGTAATTTTAAAGTTTTTTATAAGCCAAATCTTTAGCTCTACAGTATCTAGAACTTCTTCAGGTAGTCGATTGTTTTAACAGTAATCTGGAATCTCAAAAATTTACAGCACATGTGGGGAGGGAATTTTTGATAAGTTATGAATTTCAGTGTGTTCTCTTAATATTAGAGGTTTGGAGAAACATGTTTTCATGATTTAAGGTGCACTTTACTTTCATACATTTTCCTTTTACATCATTTTGTGAAATTACTTTTTACTACTTTTAGGAATTTTAATGAGTTGTGAATGTGTACTACTCATTCTAGAGTTCTGTACTTAGAGAGCTTATTTAATTACTGCAATCAATTACAGTACAGCTTTCTAAATTTCACAGAACAAATTGTTACATAGAACAAATCCTAATGTTCCATTCATTGTACTTGTTTATTTTTTTTCACTTTTAAATATAATTCTTTAGTCTGATAAATTGGTCACTCTGAAGCTACCTGAAAAACCATAAGAAGTAGCACTTGTTTGTTTTTGTCTTGATATCCGAGGAAATTTACCATACAATTGGGGTTTAAAAACCCCCACATAATTATGAAAAAACACTTATTTCTGGAGGTAATCTATGACAGCCACCACACTTGTTTGGTGTGCTCTATTTAAAATATACAAAAAAACCCTTTATGGCCCTTGTACATTGAAGGTATGGACACTGAATAAAGGAGTAAGTGTTAAAGTCAACAGTATTGTTGCATTTGAATCATTCTCAGCTCACTCGCACACAACAATTAGAAGGTACAAACATACCTTTTGAAAGATTCCAAACCTTTGCGCATCCACACCCTAATTGATTACATGCAGACCCATTACTTCAGAAAGCATACAAGAAAAAGAAGAAACCATAATGTTAGTACAGGGGCAGCCAGTGGTTGCCACATGCAACACGCAGCTGATTGACAGCACAATGGCAGACAGGGTAGGAAGTAGAAAGCAGAGCAGCAGATCAGACAGAGAGCACTGGGCTTGGAGTAGAAGGCAGAGCATCAAATCAGGCAGAGAAACTAATTTGCAGCTTGTCTGTTAAAAGGGGTAGCCCTGACTTGCTTGGCAGAAGTAAAATGGATTGCTGTGATGGGAACAAACTGACTTTCTTATCCAGATTTATTTGGAAATTGGGTCTTTGGAAATGGTGTATAGAGTACTTGTCTAGTTCACAGGTGAGACTCAGCATGGACCACTGATAGTAACATAAATACTTTGTTCACATATTCTGATAGCATCTAGAGAGAAGGATGTTCTTTTTCATTTGGGCACAAGAACTAAGGACCATTTCATGTCTTGCCACTTCCAGCATACTTTTTTTTCAAAAAATCTATGCATCCACGTTCAGCGGCCTTTAAGTCATTTTGAAAAAATGGGACAAAGGTGCTCTTAAAAATGTAGTCCAAAATTAAATAAAATAAAAACTCGATTGCTTTTCTCCAAAAAAACAAGAGAGCCTGAACCATATACAAATGATAATATCTGAACATATTCCAGAAATGTATTCAGGAGATACTGTTATGAAGAAGGTGCAGTAAGAACATGACATACTGCCTTATATTTTCTAATGTATACTGAGTTTAGTTTTGAGCTCTGCCTCGGACTACGCTGTGCCTCACTTAGCATCTCTGCAAAATGGAAGAAATTGTCTTTTTCTTTTATGTGGATTTTTTAGGTTAGAGCATAGATTCTCAACAATGGTGCCTTGATCTGTTCAAGGGTACCAAAGGTTCCGCATAATATTAGCACTGTTAGGTATGTGAACATGATTAACAAGATGCACCCAAAGATTTCAAATGGGAATCCATAGCATTAAAAAAAAATCAGAATGCATTGAGTAACAAAGGATGCCTTGAGTCTAAAAAAAGGTTGAAAACAAGGACGATGCATAGATGCAAAAAGGTGCTGCCGACAGTTGCTACCCTGCTGCCGACACTGCAGCAGCGTCTTCAGGTGGTCCATGATTCCCGCTGGCCGCCACCACCACTGCTGGTGGCAGCTGTGGGTGGTCACCAACCTTTGGTTGGCACTCGCCATCCCCTCCTCCCCCCACCGGTGGCGGCATCTGCAGGAGCTCTCCTGCTTACCGCTGCCACGCTCCTGCCACCACCGCCGTGTCCCCCCAGCCGCCGGGGGCATGTGCCGTTCATGGTTGAGAATCACTGGGATAGAACAATAGTTTGGGTGTTTGGCATAATATATGGGTTCTGTAAAATAGAAATATTTTTATTTTATTGTGCAGATAAGCTGGCTAGTTGATAGACATAGTTAGCCATGTTGGTCTGAATTCAGCATCTTATGAAGTGAACTTTAAAAAGCTTATGCTTTTAAAAGCTTATGCTAAATATAATCTACTTTGGTTAGTCTATAAAGTGTAAATGTACCCTGCCTTCTACTTGGCTAGTTGATAGACAGAAAAAGAAAGAAACATTAACATGCCTCATGATGGTATTTGCCAGGGAGAATTAAATCATAAGTCCCTCTTTCAATGACTTAGGGCAAAGGCAGAAGAAAGATAATCAGGCAATATTTTCTTTTATATATAGATATATGAAAATGGTCCTCTTAGATCCCTATTTTTCTAAAGGTTTTCTATTTACTTTACAGTTTCCATGATACTTTCATATGCATGGATTTAACATTGAAACTTGGCTTTTTAGGGATAGTGTTTATCTTGTTTTGTTCTTAAAGGAAACATGCTGTAGCTTTGAAGTGGTTAAATGTCCTCAAGCTAAGTTTTAATAAGATATCACCTTTATATTGTGGCTAAATGTATTGCTGTGAGTTCCATGGCTCTGCAGGGAAGTAGTGGACCTCCTGCGGCTAAAAAGCAAGATCCAGAAAGAATGGAGGATGGGATCCTCCTCCAAGAAAGAATATTCCACAATGGTCCAGACCTGCAGGGTGTGAACAAGGAAAGCCAATGCTGCAACTGAACTCCAACTAGCTACAAGTGTCAAGGATCTAAAAAAAGTCCTTTTTTAGATACGTGGAGTGCCGGAGAAAAAGCAAGGGCAACATTGGCCCCCTGATAAACCAGAAGGGACAACTGACAACCGATGCCCAGGAAAAAGCCAACCTACTAAATGGGTACTTTTTGTCGGTTTTTCATCAGTCCTACAGGTTGCCCCTGCCCATTATGGGACAGTGAGGCCCGGGTGAGGGAGATCCCTTGCCTTTCATCAGTGCTGACCTCGTGAAGGAACACCTTGAGAGGCTGGACACCTTCAAGTCAGCCGGCCCTGACGGTTTACACCCAAGGTTACTTAAGAAGATGGCAGGCATCATAGCTCAGCCCCTGGCATGAATCTTCAAGAGTTCTTGGCACTCTGGTGAAGTGTCTGAAGATTGGAGAATGCCAATGTGTTGCCTATCTTCAAGAAAGGGAGGAAAGTGGATCCGGCTAACTATAGGCCCATCAGGCTGCCCTCTGTCCTGGGGAAGGTCTTAGAAAAAATCATCAAAGAAGCCATACTCAACGGACTGGCCGATGACAACGTGCTGAGGGATAGCCAGCATGGGTTTGTTGCAGGTAGGTCTTGCTTTACCAATTTCATTTCCCTTTACGACTAGGTGACTTATCACCTGGGTAAGGGAGAGGAGATTGACGTCATGTATCTTGACTTCAGAAAAGCCTTCCATCTGGTATCCCATGATTACCTCTTGGCAAAACTGGCCAATTGTGGCCTTGGGTCCACCATGATCCGCTGGCTGGGAAACTGGCTTCGTGGTCGGACCCAGAGG